GCTCTACAACAGGGGGGCAGTTGCCCCCCCACCCCCCTGTAGATCTGTCCCTGATTGTCACGGTTTACCAAAGCTTGTCTGTTTGACAAAGGCTGACTTTTACCACCCAAATATGATTCTAAATGTATAGAAATTACTTTGTATATTGTATAACATTAGCATTATATTCAGACAAATCAGTTTGTGGATTCCAGCAGYTTTTTATGGGCCAAAAATACATTTTAGGGTCATATCTGGTCCACAGGATGCTTGTTAGACAGTACAAATACAAGTAGAATAAATTAGGGGATATTAAAGACGAAGTGAAAGGAAAAGTAAAAAGAAAAACACAAATTCAAATATTGGTTTAAGCTCAGGTCACATGATTGGAAGAAAAGTGAATTTTTTCTTCTATTATCCTGTTTGTTTTTCCTGTTGCTGATATTCAAAACCTGTAGGTTGATTATTTCCTGTATTTACTGTCTCATCCTGTGTTTATTGTTCTCTGTGATATTATAAGCAATATGCAGCAGGTCTCTATGCATCAAGTGTTTGCAAAAGGGTTCTTGGTGTTTATATCTGTTCAGCTGGGCAGGGGCGCCTGCAGGATTTTATTGGAGGGTACACACAYACCCATCTACCTGACACACACAAATGCAGACCACATGAGCGTGATGCACARGTCACACAAAAACAGGAACTTGGCACCGCGCCAGGTCCTGACCGACAGCCGCAGGAACGAGATGCGCATCTGTCCCACACGCCCAAATGTGCACATTTGTCCTGCCTTTGACTCGTCACATTTTGAAATGACAAAGAAATAAAATTTAAAAATCGACAAGCTACTTAGTGGCTGCATTTTGCAACATTACATCCTTATTTCTGTCTGCGTCCTTTGCAGGAAGAAGAGAGGGGAAGGCAGAGCAGCATCAGGTCAGTCACAACGCACTACAGCCACTGCATTAAAACMAATTAAATTAAATTAAAATAAAATAAAATAAATAAGGCAAGAATATGGATTTGACTTATGCAGACTGTAGTGGAAACTATGTCAAAATGCAACAAAACAGACACTGATAAAAGGGTGAGATCAGAGAATTCAGAGATATATTTTTCCTTTTTTTATTTTTTTTTTTGAAGGGGAACAAGACGTGGAGCAACAACAAACCCAAAACAAACACATTTTGCTCAAACTCAAACAAGATGACAGTCTGACTGAAACCAGGTGGTTACAGTTACCTGTGGCTGAGCTGGGCTCCTGGGGTAGAGGTAGCAGCAGAGTGAAGCAGAGGTGAAGGCAGAGAGAAGCTAACTTTGTCCGTCGGAGGAGAGTTTTCCTGGCTTAGGTGCTGTCAGTAACGTCCAGAGGATGAGGCAAAGTGATGGCACTTTATTTCTACTCTTTTGTAAATGTTTCAACAAGGTTTAACTGTTTAAAAGTCCGCTCACTCATGTTTAGTTAGCTTCACTGCGCACAGTCAAAGCGCCAYGGCAGCCACCAAATAAACAAAATAAACMAATCACTTTAGTTTCAGACGCATGGCCCAAGACGCACACAGAAGAATGTACAGGAAGTTCTGACAAAATACACTTTCTTATTTTATTTTGTCCACCAATTTTGTAATAATAGAGTGAAAAATCATTAAAAAGTCAAATGATTATAAAAACGTTTTTTTTTTCTAACTCAAAGGAAAATCTCAAGATATGCACAGTGCGTATGCTGCAGGCGCCACTGCAGCTGGGAATTATTGGATAGATTTGACATCAAATCCTTTCTACGTTTATGTTTTAGTGAGAAGAATAATGATGCTGCAGTTGCRGAAATTGAGATTGTTTTGTCTAAAATAACTTTTTTAAGATCTGCATCTTCCTAATTTTTTTAATSTCATTTTGACTGTTGATGACAATCTTAAAACAAGTTTTTAGGTCCCACTGTACTATACCCTGACCCTTTAGGTTGATTTGAATCCAAAGGGATTAATACCTATAAGTGTGGCAGGAGAAAGGCAAAAATTGAGAGGGAAAGCCAGCCGGTCTTAAGAAAAACAAGAGCTAAGGTGACAATCTGATTATGAGCAAGTAAAAACAAGTAACACTAGAGGTGAGAGATAACTAATGAGACACAGGTGTGGAACAAGCAGCATAACTGAACCCACAGGTGCGGAACAAGAGCAGGAGGCCAAACCCAACCAGGCTCATCCATGCATTCATCCATATTTTTATCGGCTGCAAGGTTGTGGGGGAGCTTGTATCTATCTTCAATGGTCATTGAATTATTTATTATTAATAAAACTGACATTTAATTAATACATGATTAATCAAAGGCTGGACAAATTTGGATAGTGTCCCCTATTATAGAACATAAAAAACTCGAATAAAATCAACACATTTTCAGAATCTCTGCCACTATTAATATATTTTCTCTAGAAGAAAAAAAAGTTGTTTTGGTGCTCAGACTTACACTATATTTATACTGCTCTTTGTTCCCACTGCTACAGAGCCCCGAGGCGCTGACTCAAAAATGCACAGCCACCATTCAGTGTTAACTCTCACTTGTGACCTTTGACTTCCTGTCGTTATTGGCAGCAACGCAACTGTCCTCAATAAATCTAGCTTGTGTCCTCACAGTCTAATAGCCGAACAAGGACCTTAGCATTCCTGTGAATGTGGGAGTGAAAGAAATGGGACAGCCATGCTGATTTAACTTCCCCTCCTGCGTGGCTTTGCCTGCAAGATGTGTTTGCTCACTGGAAATTGGTCCGAGATGCGCCGTCGTCGTGTCACCAGTGGACTGTCTGGGTAGCTGACTCATCCCCCGCCTGACTCATATAACAGTCTGATTTGTGGTGGAAATAAAACAAAAAATAAAAATAGTTAATTGAGAATGGCTTTTTATTTGGTGGAGATTAAACGGCAACCACACTCAGAAATTTAAAGACAAAATGCCTTTTAAGTTAAAAACATGTCACGTCGGGCAGATTTGTGAGGAACATAATGACGAGCTTGGYCTGAAAGTTTAATCCACGACATTTGTTTCCAGTTTTATTCAGTTTCCCATGAAAAAGCAGGTCATGGATCTTCTTCCTACTGGAAGTCTTCAACTTTGGAGAGTGTGCTGACAGCTCCAACACACACAAATGTGTCCTCACCTTAACCCCTGGATGAGCACATGCAAGGAGTTCTTTATAGTGCATTGGCCTGAGAAAGCWGTTAGCAAGAAAATGAAAAGAAAAAAAGAGAAGGAAAAGAAAAAAAAAGACACTTTTTTGATTGACGAGCTGCAAATCTGGTTCTTTAAATAAACATTTAGTCGAACAAACATGAAGCTGAAAGGAGACTTTTAGCCACAGTTCCAAAGTGACTTTTCTAAAAAGATGGACTTACAAGTTGTAGGTTGCATCTATTTATATTTCCATTAACTTACAAATGAATAGACAAGTCAAAGCACYTCAGGTTTATAGGAAAACATTTAGAGGCCATTATGGCTGCCTTAAGTCGGATGGGATTCTATCACGCTTTGCCCTGCCTTTCAAAACAAATAGTTTATCAGTTTCAATCAACATTCCTGTCTGCAACTTTCTCATAATGCTCTTTAACCTGATAAAGTGAGATAAAACTAGATTAAAAAAGGGATTAAGCTGGTTCAAATTTCTATGTTTCTTTAAAAAAAACTTCTACTGGCTTTGAGATCACGATTTGTGAGACCACCAGGGCAGATCAGCTGACAAAAACTAGCAGTACGCGTCATTCCTGCAATGCTTTTACAAATCAAAWATAAAGCAAGTGTTTTTATGTAAGTCTTATTATGAAACAATCTATAGGAGGAATGTTGAGTTAAAAATATAATAATGGGAGTTCAATGGGAGAACAAAATGTAGCAAATAAAAATAAAGTCAGCATATAAAAGATTTTTTTGGGATATTTACTGTAACTTTTTCCTAACTATTAGTCACATCTTAAGCAGATAAGCTCTCCAATTAACAGAAATATTATTTAGTTTTCTTTGACCTTACACAATAATCCTGAAGAAGAAGTTTCTAAACCGTGAATATCTTACCTGTTCGGGATAGCCTTTTAAATAGCCTTAGTTAGTCCGGAGATTTAAAATTAATTTCTTACTGGATTGATAAGCTAACAGCTGGACCAAGTCTAAGATAAATGTCTGCCAACTTAAAACAAATTTATTGCAAAACAGTTAAATGCATACAGAAACTAAAGTCAAGAAGTCAAGAGTGAACTTCTGTAAAGGCCTTTTTTAATTTATCTATACAAGTCAATAAAACTTGCTTTTCTGCACAAATAAAGTGCCAACAAAATTTGTTAAAATGTCACACCCAATGYAAAATATATACAGTATATAAATAGAAGGTTACTCATTTAATCGCCCTCAAGCTAATTCAGTACCAAATACAGCATTCACTTTTATATCAACAAAGAAAGCCTCTGAATTATTGTTGCAGTTTATTACAAAGTGACACCCAACCTCAAGGCAAACATGACTACAAAATTCTAGATACCAYTTGCTTTAGTTTGTGTTTTATGACACGTTATAGCGTGTCTGATGTAACAACTAAAGTAAACATAAAAGAGGTCTACWGCCGGAGGCACTTGATAAAACCAGTTTAATTAAATGTGTTGAGAAAAAAGCTTAGAAACGCTTCACGTTTGTTTGTAAAATAGCYAAACTGTAATCAGTGGATAAGCAGCAAAATGCAGCACGTTATTCTGCTATGATAAGACATAATTTTCTATTGTGGTATTTTATGTCAATACAACCTGTCACGCTATGTTGAGACAGTGATGGGTAATTACACTTAGAGTAATAAACACAAACCAAAATGTGTTTTCAGTCGTCTTTCATCTCAGTAATTACAAGTTATTGAGCCACAGCTCAGGAATCATCAGGTGCATTCGAACAGGTTCCCCAGGCCAAAAAATAAAAATWAAAAATTAAATTAAAAAATCACAAATATTTGATGGGAACAGCAGATTTGGGGAGTTGTAAGTGAAGTATTTTTTGTGGGTGTCGGAAAAGCACAACGAAGACAGGAAAGATGAATGTTCTTGTTGATTCTTACTGTGTGTCAGAATGTAGTCACGTGATTTCATCAGAGCAACACAGGTGGTATTTAGTCCATCTCAGATGAAGCCGGCAGGAGTAATTTACAACTTGTTGACAATAAAAAGCAGTCATAAAAAAAAAAAATAATAAAAAACCCACTGTGGAGTGGCTGGAAGAAAACCACCCTCAGAGGAAAACTGTTGCAGAGGAAAGGAATGTGGAACGGCTCATTATAAGTAGCATCTGTTAGCATGTTAGCAACTAGCACATGTTTTAACCCAGTAATGGTGAAAAATAAYTGGGGCCTGAATGTTGACTTCTTTGAACTCATTATTTTCTCCAGAAAACTGCAGAATCATTTCCCCTAATAATGCTCAAAATGATCAAAAATGGCTATTAGCTCAGTGTATTATGGCTGTAAAATATTAAATAGGGTTACAAAGGCTTTTTGTGCTATGTCTTGGACATCATAGTAAAATACTATAATAAAAAAGGAGTGAGAAAATTATCACTTTTGAGAAAAAGCCAAAAAGATGTACAGTAAGTGTGCAAGATGCAAGTGTATTATTTTGAATATACTCATCCTGCATTTTTTTTTTTGTTATTGCTACAGTTGGGCAAAAGCGCTTTAGTGCATATCCTTTTTCTGTTGATCAAACTATAAAAAATAATTGGAACTATTTTTAAACATAATTTAACATTTGCATTTAGAGAAACACACATGGTGAGAGAGCTTAAACTAAAGCCCATAAATATACAGAGAGGTTTAACGCCTCCTTTTAACCTCCAGCACAAAGGTCTTCGTCAAAGTTCAAGATATGCTGCCGTGTTGCCTAATTTTAGTTCAGTATGCAGTTGAGCTGACTCTCTTTTATCTTCACCCTCCTGCTTCAGCTGTCATCTTCAGAAATGCAGCGCGGGATGTCTTCACTGGGGCCTCGTAGACTTCTCAAAGGCTTTCCTGAGCAAAGATCCCTGCAATACAAGAAGAGCCGAGAGGGGAAGCCTTGAAGAAGAAAGTTGGAAACTTAAACTTTACTAGATCTAAATCAGATCAATCTATTTCTGTGCAAGAAGTCAAACAGAGCAAAAACATAATAAAAATTGGAACAAATGAAGTGAGCAACAATTTCACCACTTTGCTTTTAACAATCACAAAATGCAACTTTTTCTGCTTTTGGCAAGAAATTTAAAAATCTTAAATTTTGCCACAGCTTTGTTGGGCAGTTTTATTGGATTTCTAATTACTCGCACAGTTTCTTCTCTCTCTCTCCCCTCGTAAACTTCAAATTTTTAGCTGGCATTTGAGCTGACATTTTTATATTTACCAGTATAAAAAAATAAAAACCTGTCTTGAACCTATTTTCCAAAATGTTATGATCTCTTAAAACAAAGTTCAACATGGTGAAAGTGCTGCACATTCCTAATTATCTTTCTTTTTTATAAATCAGAGTTCAGTAGAGGAGGGTTGCTGTGGAGGAACAGAGACACAGAACTCAAAACGTTCACTCTAAACACACAAGGATTCAGTTGTTTTTACTTACTCTGCAGAGTTTACTTCTTCTCCCCGCCTAATGACATATTTTCAGATTTTTTCTTCTGCTCCTCGTTGAACAAAAGATATGTTTGTGTTAGCATTAGTGTATGCATGGGTTTATGTTCATGTGTGTGTAAATATTAGTTCCTATAAAAATGATAATTTAGGATGAACACATTCACTTAAATTTGCAGTTTTTCACTTATGATCAACACATGTTAATTTTCCTTTTTTTTCTGTATATGTGCAGGCGGACAGTTAGGGTTGTTTTTATGTCAGGGCATGATGAAATTGCTGAAGKTGATCACAGGATTCATGAGGAAATATGTTGTTTACTTTAATATGACAATCTAAATATCTTCAGAGTTTGTTTACAGATGCAGTAAATACTCCATATTGCAATCATAATGCCAAAAAACAAACAAACATCATGTCATTTCATGTCATTGAACTGCATTATACAGTGTATGATGCATGCTTGTAAACACCATAAAAAGAACTACATACTTTATGTATGTACACATACTTTATGACGTTTTGTGAATACGCTTTTAAAGCATCTTATATCTGTGATAAAGTTCATCAAAACCTCACTTCAATAGTTCTAAGCCATTGCTTTAGAAACTGTTCAGGGTTGGTTAGTAGGACARAAATGGTAATAATACTCCAAATGAGCTGATATTCTGATTATTTAGTACAAAAATATGAGGATAGGATTATGCACCTGGTTCCATTTTACTGTTAAAAAATGACCTTAAAGAAGCAGCATGTGGTCTACTATGACGATGTTGGAGACTGGATGTTTTTCACCTCCCCCTCCTCTTTGAAAGGATAAATTATAGGGCTGCAAACAGCCTCAAGCCCCTCTCCAATTTGGTTTGTCTCTTCTCGGGTTACTGTGGTAACATCCCTGTTAATAGTTGCCCTAAAGCAGTGAAAACACAATGATTCCTATTGTCACACAAGTCTACACAAATGCAAACAATGTTAGAAATATTATGTCGTGTTTTTGCCGACAGATGTTGCTAGATGTTCCACACTGGGACTTTAAAGCAAACATTTGAAACTTTGGAAAACCGTTTTTGTTTGATTTCTGGCAGAGAATTAGTAAGAAATGTCAAATTATTCTTGGCAGGGATGTAAACTTCTTAAAATATTTGCTGGCTGTGTCGTGGATCAGAGGACAGAAGGAGCTGGTGATTTATGAGTTGGGGTTTGGGGATATTTTGACAAAACTGTTTGATTTGATTTGCCAGTAACTTTTCAAAGCACCAACAAAACAAAACTCTGCCACTTGCCTTTGTGTAAAAGAACTGTGAGCTTTATGGTGGTAATATTAAACATCCTGTTATGTTAGCAATAAATTTCATCATTCTGTCATACATATTAAAAAAAATAATAACCCTGGTGTTGCAAACTGTTTGGAATTATCTAAGTGATAAACATAAAATAAAAATATTTAAAAAGACAAATAAAAATATAACTATATCCATGTACCATGGTTTTGTGTGAGTTGGAGCTATTTTGCACATAATACAAGACATCCAGACAGTTTTATAAAGTGTGTGTAAAAGGTGTAAACCACTCCTAGAGCAGAGTTTCTTTTAATCCTTTAAAGTGGTTTGGATCAGGCTTTCATAAGATCTTTTTCAAGTTATTCTTTGGACATGTTTCGCTCATTTTCATTCCAGTTTTTGACCATAGCGCTATATTTTGTGGTGTTTTTAAAAAAACAAGATAAGTGCACAAGTGGAGGACAAAAGGAGAAGTTTCAGACCTAAAAATCCAGATGATCATCAGTATGTCAAGATAGCTAAAACCTCTTTGGGAATCATATTGTTAGTGTTAATATACTAACCCTAACCTGACCTCCCAGAGACTATTGGCAATTTGGCATGCTTATTATTATGTGTTAAATTTTATCTTTGTCTTGATCTAATGTGTAGGTAGTGGAGTGACAAACAGTGAAAGAGCAGCCCAAAAACATTCCCTGAAAAATGTTCCAAAAAATATAAAGAAATGTTATTCAAAATCACTTTAAATTATTACAAGAACGTTTGACTTCTTGGAAGTAAAATATCAAGAAATGATGAATGACTGAAGACTTTTAAGCACAACTTTATCATGGGTTATGTAGTTCACAAAGGGTATAGATGGTAGATAGATTAGATGCACAGGTTTTACCTCTGTCATGGCYTCTTCAAGCTGTTTCAGTTCCTCGTAGTGATCACGGGAGTCTCTCAAAGGCTGGACCATGATCTCTTCAATCTGAGGGAACAACTACCCAGAAAAACAAGTGTTAACAAAAGATCTTTTTATGGCACATGTTTCTAAACGCTTTGTCTTACCCTCATGACAGTCTCAAACATTGGAATGAGGACAAACTTGATGAAGCCAATCTGAGCAGTGGGTTTGGTAACTTTATCTCTGTCCATGAAGGGGGCCACAGGGAGACCCTCAGATTTCTCCCTGTCACTCTAAAAAAAAAAACAGAGCAGAATAGGAGCATTGTCATTTTGAACTGATTTCTTTTGCTTTGAAGTGACAGTTCTTGGAATGGTTTGATTAGACTCACCTGCATGAAGTACTCTTCCAGTAAGCAGTCCACCCATGGCTCTGCAACCTCAGTTGGCCTCACCTCGTTAGAAATATCACAGCACTTGATCAGAACCCGCTTCAGCTGAGAGCAGAAACATAATAATATGGAAGCACATGCTAAGTGCATGGATCAGTACAGAGAAGCCTCACAGAGGTTCAAACTCACTTCAGTTGAGAACAGCACATTGAATTAATAAAACAAATCTAATATGGATTAAATTTATAATATAAACCATAATTGATGGTTGATTTTGTGGATCGTTTACATACACATGTCACATGTTCCTCACTGGTGAAGTCAAAGTTGTCCACTTTTTGCTTAAAACATTCCAGAACCTCGCCATGTCTGGCCATATCGGTGGCCAGTATGAGGGTGATGATTGCCTGGAAACATAAAAATAAAAAAATAAAATAAATAAATGTCAAGCCAAACAGAAATTCTTGGATTTTAATACAGTATGTGCTCAAGAAATCTCACATAGAGCTAGAGGGGGGAACAAAAAGTTTTGTGGTTCAGAAAAGACCCTTTAGAAATGCTCAATGGTCTCATTTTCTTGTATGTATAAACACTTCAAAAATAAAGAACAGTTTTCTTCTAAGAAAGAAGCAAATCTGGAAATGTCCAAAAAGTAATTTTGTGTAATTATTGTCATGCTTACATCATGAGGGGGATGTTCTATGCTGTTTATCCACAGGGGAAAAATTCAGTGGAAGAACAATAAATAAATAAATAAATAAATAATTAAATAAATAAATAATCCTGCAATTCTGGATGATTTGTTATAAATGCCATATTATTGTTCACAAATTGATGAGTTTCTCACTTGTCGAATCTTTTTAAATGCTTCAGGATCCACGTTTGCGAAGATGTTGCACTCGGGAAGAGCAAGGATCTGGAAGGCCACGGCACAGTGATGGTTCTCCAGTGGAGAGATGTCATTGTAGCGTACTGCCAGCTCCGTGCGAGCGTTGATTTGGTACCTGATAGACGGACGGCATTGTTAAATGTAAGGGAATTAAGATGATCTGATAAACAGTTATCGCGTAACCTCCCTGGCGAGGGAACTTTTCACCCGTGTGAAACTCAGACTAAAAAAACAAAACAAAACAAAACAAAACAACATGCTCATCTCAGTCTGCATGTTTTCATACCTGAGATCTCTCCGTCCTGAACCAGTTTCACAGTTCGTCAAGAACAACATTGTGTAAGGGTTCTCAAAACATATCAGTGTGGGTCAGAGGGAACCGGTAGTATCTGTTAAGAGATGGGAGGAGAAAATCTTACGCGTTGTTATAGCCAGGGTGGTCCAGGTCATGACACACTGCAGCTGTCATGAGGATTCCCAAATCTGTGAGCGTCAGCTTCTCCTGGAAAGCAGTGCAAAGGTGAAGAGCAGGTGAAAAAACCCCCCAGCTATTCATTTGGAAATTTACAGGTTGCCAATTACATAAAAAGATAATTCTGTTTTTAAAGAAACAATCATAGTGGGACTTTGTAGTGAGAGTAGAGTGCTGTGAAGGGGTAAATGAGGGCACAGATTGTAGAGTAAAGCATTTTGAGTATCCTGGTGGGATAGAAAGGCGCTATGCAACCACAGAAATCAGGATACCTCATGTCTTGAAGCACAAAAAATGTTTTCCTTCACTGAACATAAAAAAAACATTTTAAATGAATGATTCATTGCAACATAATAAATTTAGAATGTAAATGATAATAATACTTGTTATTATACGTAATGCATTGTTTCCCTCCAGTACTGTCAAGAGATTATATGCAGAATGCTACAGTGGTTTGTACAAACTGACAGAAAATCATTGAGAACCACTACATCAGGCAATGAACTTTAATAGCAAGCGTGATGTTTATGTCATACCCGTAGGTTGCAGAGGTGGATCATGCCGTACATCATTTGGCTAACACAGAAGCAGTGACGGAAGTTGTGGAAAGGGTTGTTGCGGTAGTTCTCCTGAATCGCCAGCTAGGAGAGAAATATTCATTCAGTACACTGATACGAACTTGAGTTGACAGTTGTCTTTTTAGTTGAACACCACCGTTTGAACATTGACTCTCTAAATCTGCTTTCTTACCAACCAGCGCTTCAGTGTGATGGGATTCATGTTAAACTCCTTTACTAATCCCAAGTCATGGTACATGAACTCCAGACAACTCAGCATCTGCAACCATTAAGAAAGAGCACCATAAGACACCAGTGTTTGTAAAGATCCAGAGTGGCCATGTTTGATGGAGATCTACACACTTCATTGTGTTCCCAGTGCCAAACGTCAAACGTTGGCTTCTTCAATGCCTCAATAGTCTCCTGGGAAAGTGTGTACTGTAAGTGGTAGAGTCATAAAAGTCAACAGAAGATCCAAACAGTCTATAAAATCTTGATGTCAGATGAGTTGATAAGAGAGCTAAACGTACCTTTGGGTAACTGGGGACGTCTCGTCTAGGAGTGACCTTCCTCCCGTCATCTGAGAAACTGTATTTACATGAACTATTTAACCTTGAATCATGATGACACACTGACTTATGTTTTGTACATTGATAGATTGAAAACGTTTCCAGGCCAGCTTGATTTTACCTGCCGCTCCCTCTCGAAGCTACCTCATCTCGAAGCTTCCTCAGATCGTTTTTACACTTTTCTATTTCCACAACCTTCAAGCCCTCCACTGAAACAAGACAAGTGATGTCGGATGAAGGAATGGGTTTTCTCTGGGGTGCTGTATGGATATCAGATACGCATGAAATGAAGTTTCTGTTGTTACTTGTAAACTGCGCCACCTACTTTCCACTCTCTTCTCCAGCATCGCCAGTCTGTTGGTGAGTTCAGCCTTCAGCTCGGTGATGTGAAAGGCTCTGTGAAAGACACATCAAGAGACTTGGAGTTGGGTTGCGAGTGAAACAACTCTCCTCCACGGGTTAAGAATTTGATCATTTTGGTGCCAGAGGAAAATGAAGAATATGTGAGGGGGTGGGGGTGGGGTGAGATGAAGGTGTTACCTGTTAAACTGTTCAGCCACCTGGGACAGCACAGTATGAAACATGTCGTCCTTCTCTGCAAGCATACATATACATATTTGAAGAATCAGCACGAACTGCATTTTTTGTTAGGTTCAATATAATAAAAGATGCTTAAGAACATTTACCTTCAACCTGACTAGCAGACAATGGGACAACTTTGTATAAATTGCTGTTAAGAAATGAAATGAATGTAAATATTAGTAAAGATTATGTTCGAGCATTTATTTTCCTTTATGCAAAACTTACTCTTTGAAGTTCAATTAAAAACTTCATTTGTGTAATTATGTGTCATTACAAAAAGTGACTCGCTTCATTTGTGCATTTGATAATGATCAGAGCTTTCCGAAGGGACCCGTTTTTTGCTAAATCATTTTTTTTTGCAAAGGCCTTACAGGTTGAATCTCATTCTCCCACACTCCTACCCTGTTTAGTCCTACACTAACCACACAAAGGATTCCTCAAATGCTTTTGTGGTCTAAGATGAAGAGCTGCTTTGTACATGTAAAAATCTACTTCAATAAATCCCCATTTTTGTCCTTTGACTTGGTTGAAAAAGAGATTTTGGGCTTTATAAACGTAATGTTTTCCTTAATGTATTTCTGATGTATTGTCCTACTTAAAAAACTAACAGAATTGGACTCATTTCAGTGACTTTAGTTGGCTTTGCAAATTAAAATAAAAATCTCTGACAAATTGTGCGTTTATTTTGTTGAGCATACATGACAAACGAATGACACATAGGCTTTTTGAAGGAGTGTCAGATTTCAAAGAGAAATGTTTTAAGCACTACCCCCTCATGACTTTGATTTACGGGACAACAGGGCCCCTCAAAATCTAGGGAGCAGCGTAACACAAAGAAAAACAACATTCGTGTTAGTTTAAGTAAAAAAAATCATTAAATATTTAACAGAATTTTGAGGAAGTTACTTCGGAGAATTTGAGGGCATTGTGGGGTCGATGGAGACCATGGCGCCTTCTGGATCCACAACCATGATGGCAGTGTTTCTGTAGAAGAAGGATGAGAGAAATAAGACAAATAATAATAATAATAATAATAATAATAATAATAATAATAATAATAATAATAATAATAATCTGTCTCTTTACCTTTTAGGTAATGAGAAGTTATTTCGTTTTGCACAATACTGTTATGTTTACTGAATGCTTTATAGCATCCTATATTTCTATAACTTCTGCAATAAAAGCTACTTTCAATTATTATATTGGATGTTTTGAATTAAAATAAGAGAAAAAAATGGAAGAAAAACATAATTAGCACTCATTTGTTACCTTGACCTGCATGATTCAAACAGCGTGTCCTTTTGATCGCTGTACGAGTTCATTATTTGTCAGCAACTACAAAGGTTTTCTATATTCTTCATAACTCTGTTGTATTAGACTTTTGTAAATCCATGTGACATTTACACATACCGGTACCAAATAAACAAACCTGGGAATGTTAGAGGAGGAACAAAGAAGCTCCCTGATGTCACACGGACTACAGTGGCGACTGAACATCACCTGAAAAGTAAACATGTTTTAAAATCAGTTTTAAAAGTTCAATAGAAATAATTGAGTAAATGTGGTGACATTAATTGTCTTAACACAAATAAATGCCTAGAAAATTATTAAGAAACAACCAAATTTTCAAAAAAAGTTGGAATGTTTTGTAAATGACAGATAAAAAACAAAGTGCTCATCTCATAACACAGTTTATTCACAAGGGAGTTTAGTGACATATCAGATACTGAAACAATAAAATTTTATGTTTTTCAAAAATTAGGTAATTTTGAATTGTTGGCTTCTGAATAAATGAAAATGATTTAACACAGTTGTTTATACTTTTAGCAGCTCTTTTTATTCCACAGTTGACCTGCTAAAAATGACAAATTTTCTTTTCTGGATCTCTGACAGACGGACTTCAATCTCTGAACTCGTAAAGTTTTTCCTTTTAGTTTTCGCTGTCATTTTTCATGAATGGACACTTCCTGATATCTGAGGCAGGAAACATAGCCTTATATGGTGTTTTTGAGGTGGTAATTATGCTAATCTCCTCTCGCGTGCACGAGCAGCTGGATACGAACAGGTGGAATTTACGCAGCTCATTTACACACTTTTCCTGAAGATAGAAGAGTTTGCTGAATCTGACGTGACATGTTCGTACGAACCCTTTGTACGAACAAAAGTAAGAGAAATTTAGGATAAGAATAAGAACATGTTCTTGCATGAGGCCCATTGTCTGCCATTCCAGCCACAAATGCTGGTTAAAGCTCATCATGCAAAGAAGAAGTCAAATGTGAACACCATCCAGAAAAAAAACTGTCTTCTCTGGACCAAAGCTCATTTAGTATAAACCAAGGTAAAGAGGAAAACTGTTTTGTGGTCTGATTAATCAAAGTCTATATTCCCTTTACACTAAAGTGGATGGCGACCATCCAGCCCAATATTCAAAAACAGGCCTCTCTGATGGTATGGGGGTGCATTAGTGACTCTGGCATGAATAGCTTACACAGATGTAAAAGGTGCCAACAATGCAGTCATACAGGCTTAAAAGCAGCAACGGGTCTCCTCGGGTCCTTATTGTTTACAAACTGTTGTTAAAAAAGAGGGTATGCTTCAACATGATTCTGTGCCATCTTTTTTCAGTTTCAAAATGAACAAATTTTTCCAATTTTTTAGTTTCAACATTTGACGTGATTCCGTTTCTGAGTAAAATATGTGTTTATGAGATAAAATCATCACATTTATTTATTTCTATTCTTTTCTTCTTACGTTTTATCAACTGCTTTACTTTTTTTGAATTGTGTAAAACATGGATTAAATCATTTCATGCTGCAATATAAAACACTCAACAACAAAATTACATCATGGGAACAATGTGACATAAAAACACAGCTGCTGTTTGAGATTTCACGAACCTCTTAAAGATGTCAAGTCCAAACAAATCAGCCCAGTTTATAAGAATTAGTGCAAATGTAGAGCGTGCAATCAGAGGAATGTGTCAAAAGGTTGTACCCAGAACACATGAGATCTGGGAACACAGAAGCTCATACCGTGAGCTCTAAAGGCATGTGTCATTTTCAGATCTCCTCCAAAAGCACTTCACATCAACAGATCTGCAAGTGTTCTGCACATCTACGCCACGGTCCGTTTGGACCTCAGACACATGAAACTCGAGCCTGGAACCATCTGTTGCAACTGTTTATATAATGTGATCTTTGAGCTGCTACCCTGCTGTTGCTGTTAAAAAATTGCAACTAAGACACTTTTATTTTTGTTTTATATAATTATATCTGCATGTACTTCCTAATGATTAATACTGAGATAAATATTATTTTTACTTCGATACCCCAGAGATATAAACAAGCTAAAATTAATGCTTGGGCATCAGCACATTAGCCCTCTGTGTTTTGTCAGAAGCACCTGTATGGAAAACTAATCAGCATCATTATGGTCTAATTTTAGACCCTCATCAGGTCAGTGGAATCTACTTGGAATAGCTGCTCTTAGTAGATGAATTGTGAACTGAATAAGACAATTATTATTCTTAGTTATGGTTATTTTAATGTTACAAATCTGTTTTTTTTCCTGAAAAAAAAAAAAAAAACAAGGGCAGTTTTCTAAATGCAAATTTGAAGTTTGTTTATTCAAAATCTTCAACAAATGTTACAACAAAAGTGACTGTCAGCCTCTTTAGTAGCTTAAACTTTAACTTAAAATAATTTAGAATTTTGAGCAAATTACAGTGTTTGCTTGTTATCAGCGATACAATAACTTTCAAATGRGTGGCTTCATAAAGACTGAATGCATGTATTCGACTGGCCTGCCTGCACATCAAATTGGACAAATACTGAAAACTTATGGAGCAAGAAAAGGAAGAGAATCAAATAACAATAAAATGACGAGTAGATAAAAACTTATATTTAGCAAAAAAATAGACATATATTTCTCTTGAAAACGAACAGTAATAATCATCACTTTCTATATATAATAAGTTTATATTTTTTTGAGTATGTTGTTGGGTTTTAACTGAAGATAATTTGATTTTCTAAATACAGTGTTGGTCTGAAAAAGTATTTTCTTTGAGTTTGTTAAATAAACACTGAATTATTTGTAGCTGCTGATAACTTAAACCATTTATCTCATACATCTTAATGCACACATCAAATTTTATTTCAAATGTGGCCAATAAAAGCTTATTATWTGAAGTAAACTATCAGCTTACTAAATTACTGTTAGCAAACATTTTTATTCTTAGRTGAGCTCACCTTTTGCACCTTCCCATCGACATCCAGGTAAATGTTTCTTGGAGCGTAAGAGGAGGAGCTGGAACCCATGTTGATTTTCCTCTTCTTACAATGAAAAATGATCCTCCTCGGCACCAGAGGAGCTGTGATCTGAAAGTCTGCTGTTAAACAAATAAGATAAAAGGACAGTCATTTTTCTGTGTTTCTATTTTTATGCCAAGATTAAAAAAAAAAAAAAACAATATTAAGATAAAACTTCAAGAAAAAAGAAGCTGTAAAAAATAAAAAAGTGATCTGTTATCTAACAAAAAAATGCTCAAATGCTAAAATTTAAATGCTAATCATCTTTAACACTATGTTTTTCCATAATGCTCAAACATTATCAGGATATAGAGTAGTTGTTTTGTCTGCATAAACCTGTAACATGAAAAATGAAAAGGTTTTGTATATGATGCCTAAAACAAATCATCAGTACATGTGTTGAACTCACAGTGGCGACGATGCAGCTCTTCCAGAGAGAAAACAAGTAGTGTCCCGCTGCTGAGGATTCAGCTTCTTCACATGTAAACACAAACAAACTGAAAGCTGCGAGGAGGAGGGGGGCGGCTGTAAGTGATGGAGCTTATGATGAAGCTGATGTGAGAGGAGGGCAGAGAATAAAAGGGGCCTTCGTTGCTGTGGAACTGTTCCTATGGAGACTAAAATGACAACCGTGATGTATTGAGTGGTGTGAGGCTGTTAGCTGAGCAGGTGATGAACTAAGACAATGTCATCTTGTTCAGAACTGAGGTTTCACTGGGTCACAGCAGCAATGATGCTGTTGGTCTAACTCAGTCAAAAAAAATTAACAAAACACAACTTTATTTCTGCAAACAGAGGTCAATAATAAAAACAAAAACAATCCTTAACAGGTAAGATATTAGTTGTTTGTAACCTTCTCATAGAAGCTCAGTATAAAAAAATCTGCAGTAAAGAAGAAAAACATTAACAATATGAAAAGAGTTTGAAAGTGTTCACAAATGTCCATAAGTAAACCTTGGTTGCAGTGAAGCTGTTCATTCAAAACTATACTTTTGTAAATGTTCAGATGCTTTCTTTTTCCTTTCTTTTTGAAATAAAAAAGACAACATGAACAATGTTGACCTTATACTTTACATATTACAGTATTCCTATTTATGTGTTTAAACAAGTACTATTCCTTTATTTTTCTTGTCAGACCCCATTTCAGTGTTTTTATTAGGGCTGTCAAATGATTAAAAATTTTACTCAATTCCAAGGTAGCTGTGAATTAATCACGATTAATCTTAAACTTAATATAAAACTTTGAATTTTTAAATATTATTTATTTATTAAATAAATAAAAATAAATAAGCCATAAGAAGACAGAAAGGAAAAAAAGTGTACATAATGTGTTACACATTGAGTTTTTTTAATATTATTTATTTAACCTTTATTTATCCAGGTAAACTGTTTGAGAACCACTTCTCATTTACAAACATGAGCTGCCATGCACTGAGTGCATTGCAATTAACAAACCTACATATTCAGCCATATTAAAGTGATTGTAAATTTTAATTGTGATTAAAATTTTAAATCTATGCCCATGCAGCACTAAAATGAATCAGAGTTGACTCGATTAATTTCACAGCCCTCGTTTTTATATAATAAATATTAACTATGTTGTCTCATACACATAATCACAGAAATGATCTGATTTTTTAAATGCTTGTACATGTGCCTTTTTTAAAGGAAGATTAACCTTTTTATTTTACAAATAGCCACTCAACTAAAAACCTGAACTCCCAAAACAACTTTTTTTGTACAAATTAATAAATTCCAGACAAGTGAGAATGCAAGGCTGGATTTAGTCTTACAATGGATAAATGGATAAAGTCTGAATATCCTAAGGAAAAACAAACTTGTTCAAGTCAGTTCTAAAAAGAAAACATTTCTGTATGTAAATCTACGGTGCATTTCTTGATACGCTTGTGTAAAATCAGTACATTTARTTTGCAACACTTGGCAACAAAGTGGGACAAATTACTGCACAATAAATTTGAAATACAAGATAAAAATGTGTGCATGCCAAATACTTTAACAAAAATAATAATATAATATAAGGAACCTCTTACCACTGATGGTGGTCAGATGGCATGGTGGTGCACGTGCATGGCAGCCCCGCCTCTGTCAGTGTGCCCCAGGGCAGCTGTGGCTGGAGCTTACAACCATCATGATGTGTGTGAATGTGTGTGTGTGTGTGCTTGGGTGAATGTCTGAAGCACATTGGGGTCTAAGTGGACTTGATAAGGCACTATATAAGTTCAAGCCATTTACCATTTACCATTTAAAAATACAAGTACAGTAAATATATCACACATTTGTGAATGTGGATCGTCTTTTTGCTGTTTTGACTTCTATCATCCTTTTTGTATTTGAGCTCAATAAAGATTTTTATGGAGGAAAAAAAGCGTTTTTCACTAAATAAAGTCACTTGTCTCTGCTGGGAGTTTCACTTCAAGTGGCTGGAGTTAACAAGGATATTATGGGCAGGGCCCAGTCAGGCAGCAGGAGGTAATTAATTTGATGTGGAGAGCACATATCACCTGAGAGGATGCATTTTCCCCACACACCTGCAGACACACACACACACACACACACACACACACACACACACACACACACACACACACACACACNCACACACACACACACACACACACACACACACACACACACACACACACACACACACACACACACACACAGAGACACACCTTCTATTTCCAATGTGATGCTACTCCCATAAGTCCAATTAAAGTCCTTCTGAGCTCTTCTGTCACATTGCAGACAACCTGACAGGACAGACTGACTACATACACACATGCACACACATGTGTGATCCCAGTGAAAACAAATTTCCAAGCTAAATAAAAATGACCCACTTTTATCATTGACGCCGTTTCATTTTCCACAACTGATTATGGGCATGTTTGTGTGCTGCTGCATGTGTATTCATGAACCCGTGTGCCAGTGAATAGAATGGCATTTCAAACGGAACAAAGGCAGCAATGAGCAGATCAAACCAGGCAGATCTTGATTAGGTTATGCAACCACAAGGCTCGCACACACCCTCGGTGGTGGAAGATCCGTTTCAGGATAAAAGTAATCAGTAGCATCATGCAGATCTCCAAGACAAAAGACGTCCAGCTGGACCTCTGAAAGGGAGTACATTATCCTGATAACAGCGACGGACCAGGTTGCTTCATGTGCACGCATTTTTACCCCCTTTACCTTGCATCTAAATACACTTCATTAATGTGAATCTCTTAGTCACTTCTTGCCAGGCAGTATGTTGATGAAGCAGGTAGGGCACTTTAGAATAAAATAAGTTCCATCATTAACTCATTATTACACTTACTGAAAGGCTATATTCGGCAGCTGCATTAAAAAACAAAACAGGAAAGATAYGGGGGCACAATCACTACAAAGCATTAGACATAATAAACACCAGAGCAGTAGCCTGACTGGGCCTTAAAACACTTGATAGACCTATAAAGATGCTAATGAGTGGCTACCTGGAAATAATGTTTACAGCACACAGGAAGACACATCATATGCCAAAGCTAACCAAACTAATTAAAATCTACATTAAGRTAATTTAAAAGCCCAATTCAAACATTTATGAATTGGTGGTATGTGGTGTGAATGAGGAGTATAGGTGGAAATGTTGAACTAAAGTAATGTCTGTGAATAAGAGCAGAGGCAGCAGTTCCACTGATCGCTATAGACGTAGACAGCAATGTTTTTGCCTTTGTGTGTATGTGAGTATGTGCATGTGTGCGTTTGTATGTCTCTTATGGGGGTCGGTAATCAAAATGAACTTTTGAGAGCTTTATATCATGTTGTAATGTCTTTCTCTCCTCAAAAACATACCCAGAGTGTTGTTTGACTCATTCATGTGTGTTTGAGAAGTTCTTAAAATTTCCTGTGGAGCTGCCAAAACACTTCCTTGAACAAAGCACCGCCTATTTGTACAAACCACCTCCCCGGAGCTCAGTCCCCAGCCGAGGTCACGCCCCACCGAGCACCCATCCCCCGAAAGCATTGTGGTGAAGAAGTGCTGCAGTGGGAAAGGGAAGTTCTTAAAGAGAAAGAGGACAATTTTGAATGATGTGAAGTCAAATTTATTTTGATATTAACATGGGGMGTAGAATTGAATAAAAATAATAATAATTTTATTAAAACTTGCAGAAAGTCGTCAGGTGAACATCTACAAACATGTGGATCCCAAAAAATTTAACAAAATAGCTTACTCTGCAGAAAACAACAAGGAAATAGCATTTTGTCACCTTCCCAAAATAATCGCCCAAGTTATTTTTTTGGCAAAATTTACTTTTAATTTTTTAACTTTTATTTTTACTTATGTCATCTCTTCATGATGCTGGCCACATATGGTTAAACACCTTCAGTTTATCAAATCATTTGATAACATCCCCCCATGATGCTGTCAACCTCCATCWGAGAGTAGGCCAGTTTATTGAAAGGCAGTGACAAATAAGTATTTATTTTTTGTTTTTCACTGAGTCTGGGGACACACAGAGTTTTTTTTCTGTTAGTGGAAATGTTTTGCTCTGAGATTAGGTATGTTTTTTTTTTTAGAAAACCTGGGTGTTTGATTGCTCAGGACTGAAAAGTGGCGACCTGCATGCTGAAACACGCACATTATGCAGAAGGACTGGGTGCAACAAGGCAGAACTCAGGAGCTCAATTTACAACAAACAGAGTTAAAAACACACTAATCCTCTGTAACTGAACACAGAAACCAGTGTGGTAAAGGTAAAGATATTCTAAATTTAACCCTTAAGGTAGGTCACAGTCAGACATGAGCACTATGGTCTCTGGGCTAAAATGTAGAGGAGTCATTTTGTGACAAACTGATTGTGATTAAAAATAAAAGAATACTACATTTTTAGTGTTAAGGTTCTTCATATAAAAAATTGTGGACTAATGATTTACTCGTCACTGTCTATCAATAGTAAACATAAAATGCAAAATAGTAAATTACATAAAAAATGAAAAGGACAAATGCACACAACAGGTGATAATACAGAATGCAATGTCATGTTTGGACTCACAAATAGCAGCACTATTTAATTTATTAATCTATGACCTTTGCAAGTTTTTTTTCCTGATCAGTGTGAATGAAAATCAAGTATTTTATTAAATGTTTTACTGACACCTAGTGGTGTATGGAAAAATTACAGCTCTATTAAAGACAAGGAATGTTTTTAGCACACAGACACACACTCAAATGGACATAAAAAAGTACAGGAAATAAAGATGGGGTGTGTATTTTATTGTCACAAAAATAGAAGACAAGATGCATCTTCACAAAACAGTTTCTTCTTATATCATTAGATTATATAATGTGAAGTACAAGTAAATATGCTCTATGTGTGTGCTGTAATTAACATCTGGAAAGAAAAAAATAATCAACAAAAACAACACAAATCACTCAAACGTGGAACATATATACATCTGTATATCAAAACTTACATTTCAAGAAGTAAAATATACATATCTCATAGGTGAAACTTCTTACCGTGCCTTCATTTATGGGATTTCCTACATGCTGGTGGACAGGAAAATGTCTTTAGAGTGGCTAATCAATAGATCAGAAAAAAAACCTATGTGCATAGCCATAAAGAAGAGGATGACAACTGAAACTTCATGGCATAAATAAAATATATTATTCTCAAGTGCAGCAACACAGAGATAAGCTACACATGAACAGAATTTCACATATCACAGGGTGAAAACTAACATCCAGGTGCCAGTCAATGCTGTGAGGGTGTCTGCGCGCTGGGATCCAGACCCTCGACCTCCACGGGCAGGTGACTGGGTGGGATGCCCACTGGAGGACGGACTTTTCTGATTGGGCTGAAGCCGCGTGGRGAGGATCCTGGGGAGTGAGCAGGAGAGCGAACAGGGGAGGCGATGGGGCGTAGAGGAGGGGTGGGGAGAGGCTGTGGGAGAGGCTGTGCCAGCGGAGAGGGGCTGCGGGGGTACCTGCGAGGGGCAGACCAGATGGGCCGCTCAGTTCTGTTGGAGGCAGTGGGGAGGACAGGAACGTAGGTGGAGGGGATGTTAATTTCTGATTGGCAGGCAGCACTGCCAGAACATTCTTCCAGACGCTCCAAAGTCTCCTGAAATAAAAATAAAATAAGAAACGTTCAGAGGTAGAGCCAGAGGGATGTCATACCTGTCACCTGTTTGGCCACCCAGCCACCCATAACTGATGACAAGTGGGTGGGGTTCTTGGATTTTGTATTTGCATTTAGATTTTGTTAAAGATCATTCTTTAATACTACTACACTTTCTACTACCTTTTCCTCTGTGTATATTTAAAAGTGACTTAATTATAGCCCTTTTGTAGTCTGGCCCATGCCTACCTATGCAGTTCCGCTCATTTCTAGTTTCCCTTCACTGCTCCGTCTGGGATTTGTCCCATAGGCAAGGATTTCTTCAGGAGAATTTTCATCCGGGCCAATCAGAGAACAGAACGTTGATTTTCTGAGCAGTGTCTGCTTGTAGTTTATTTTACCTGGGCCAATCAGCAAACAGAAGGAGGAGTTTTGAACGACGTCAATGCTCTGTGCAGTGTCTGTTAGTTATTTTAGCATATGGCAGTGGAGGAAGTGAATGAAGCCAGACCGTGTTGATAAGGCTTCCAGATTAAATTTAATTTTTCTGACAAAGCAGCAGCTCTCATTTACAGTTGTCTCGTTCGGCTCGGTACTTCTCTCCTCTCAGTAGGGTTGTTTACAGCACACAACATTTCCAGTTAGCTTCTCAGCTTAGCCTCCTTCACAGCAACATACGTCGCAGCCAACCAATCCAATCATTTTAAATTTCAGCAGAGGCCACGCCTCCAGCAAGAATCGCTTCTCTATAGCCTATACGAAGCAAAGCGAAGGACAAGGGGTTGGTTTTAACCAGGCTAGCCCTTTTGTAAAATTAGCATTATCTTRAGTAGTTGGTTTAACCTTGGATTAACATCGGCAATCAGCATGTGATCATTCTACAAGAATGTAGAATCTCCACAACAAATTTCATCTCAACAAGTCTTAAAATGGCCAAATTGTATCCTTTTAAATTTAGCTATGGTGGCCATATTGTTTTTTTTAATTTAATTTAATTTAATTTAATTTTTTGTATTTAGAATTTGGTAAAGGTTAATTTTTGGATTGATATTAATCTTCATCTTTGTGTGTCTAAAAATGGCTGACCAGTTGTGACCAGCATTCAGTACATCATTTATACTTTRGGCTCATTCTTAGCTATGATCACACAAAATTCCAGCTGATTGTTTCATCTTGAATTTTCAAATCCAAAGTGCCTTTTGTATTTGTATGTGCCCCCCACCCCCCCCAAAAAAAAACAAAAAAAAAACACTTCAGCCACCCCTTGCAAAAAAAGTCTAGCTCCACCCCTGGTCATATCAGAATTACCCTCTGTTGTGTTTTTGTTTGTTTGTTTGTTTGCTTTACTTTACACTGCAGCATCATTTACTGCATGCATATTGCCATGTGAACAGTAGCACAATTAAAAGTCATCAAAACAGACATTTTGCAACTGAAATGGTGACTCACGTCTTCATTGAGAACATAAAGAGGCATCGGACTCCTTCGACTAAGGGTTGTTGGTTTGGGCACAACATCAACTGCAGAACACAGATTGTTTAATAGAGAAACTTTAGAGCTAATTGACAGTTTTCCATAAAGTTAATARTGATGTTAATATCTACATTACTGGCAACCCATTTACAATATAATAAAGAGCATTTGGAGAACTGTTCCTCACCATCGTGGCCATTCTCACTTTGCTCCACATAAACAGGAGCTCTCTGCGGGACAGGACGGTGCTTCTTTCTACAACATAAAGCACACAAAGGTAACCCCATTCAGTCTTTAWGCAAACGTCCAGGTTCTTGTAATAACATAGAAGCTAAAGTTGGAGTAGGGAGTTTCTTGAAATTCTAGTCACACCATCAGTACAATATCCAAGCCAGAGAAAAGGAGAGAACAAGAAAGAAGTAAAGAAAGAGAAAAAGAAAGAGAAGAAAAAAAGAAGGGAACAAACTCTCACTTGGAAGGTTTCCAACAAGCACAAACCGTCACCAGGGTGATTAGAAGGAAAATGCCCCCGGTAGACAGGATGATGTATAACGAGCTCCGTCCTAAACCAGAGTGGTACAGAAGAGAAGAAAAGAAAAAAAAACTGACTTCATACACTAAACTGCATCTTCATTTTAAAATGTACTTTACTACAAAACCCTTTAAATTGTCATCTCTTTTTGACACAGCAGATCTTGAAAGATAAAGACAGTTGTTTTTATTATTATCATTATTTTAGCCTACATTTCCAGACTGTACAGGCTTAAATAAGAATCAGTGAAGTAGGACATTAGGGCCGTCCGCCCTGAGACTTTGTTCCCTTTGCATGCAAGGCAGCYCAACAGAGTCTCAGCATGTCTGAGAGCCTGTAGCTGTCTGATCATGCAGCACACTACGGCAATAATGAAGTCAGAATTACTCAGGTCCATCGAGGCAAAACATCCWCCCCACCTGCCTCCTTTTTGCCTRTGCCACCTCATAAATAACTGACCATTCACTGGAGTAGAGTGCCTCTCCCCCTCTCCTCTCTCAGRCTGACATGTGGCCCTATACTGGCGCCCAGTGACAGCCGCTCAGAGCCAACCCTCTTCCAAACACAGCCGGGATTTGCTCTTGTTGTAAACAACATTGTTCGGGAGGCCGGKATACTTGCATATTGGTCAGCCTGAGGTGGTAATTGCTTCAACAAGCTTGTGGAAGTTGATGGTTGGGAACAATGTGCACAGTGTTCATAACAAAACACATTCCCAGGTTTGTGAAAGGGATGGTTCAGATGGTTTGAAGTGGGGTTCTGTGGAAAGGTTATAAACAGTTAAAATCTTCAGATACCCAACTCTTAAAAAAAACCCTGCTTTGGAGAAATAGAGTGCATTTCTGACCAAATTAATGAGCTAACGTCTGTTCAGAGTGAGATTGCTGCCCTGCTTAGAGGGCTCTAAAACCATTTCATAAAGAGGAAAGAATGTAGAGGAGGAAAAAGTAAAAAGAAAAATAAAACTGGAGTTTGTTTTTAAATTAAGTACTTCACTTTAAGCAACAGCCCACGTAACAGAATATATCTATTGTTTGTGATTACTTTTATATGTAGATACTTGTATCTTCCATTTTTCTTCTGGTGRCCCCACTCCATTTAAGAAATATTTTAGGCATCTTATGGCAAAACAAAACACTGTGCACATGCAAAACGTGTCTTAACACATTCTCCACCTCTCAACACACAGAAGAAGCTATCACCTTGTTATTCCTCAAGTAAATTTTTGGATTTCAGTTTCAGCCAAAGCTGAATGCCACCTACTGTAGACAGTGAGATGAACAGGAGTGCTCTTCATGCTGCTGATGGGGTTCTCCACAGCGCAGGCGTATATGTCATCGTCTGACATCAGGACACGCGTTAGGGTCAGCACCTTCTGGTCATGCGAGAGCAGCAGGCGCGAGTCGTTGGTTAGCACTTTTCCTCCTTTCAGCCAGCTGTAGACGGGCTTTGTGCCGTTGTCGTGGGAGCAGTGGAGGTTGAAATACTCGCTGTACTCCAGGACCGAGGAGGCCATCATCTGAATGTAAGGTTTGGACACTGGAACTGATCAGGACAGAGGATAAAGATAAAGGTGTAACAGCTAGCCGTTAGCTTTTCAACTCAGTCAGAATAGTTTTTTTTCTCTCAAATTTTAACTGTTTAAAGAGCGATCTACAACAGGTAAGATGATGACTGAGAATAACCTTCCAAACTCCTGCTTCAAAAGATACAAACTATCCCTTTAAAAAGCCTATTATGTGAAATAAAGAGAAAGAATGATTGCGTGTACCATCTACAGTGAGATTAATGTTGTGCTCTCCAGTGAAGGTTTCATCRGTGATGGAGATCTCGACTTCGTACGCCCCTTCATCCGACAGCTGCAGGTTGTGAAGCAGCAGTGAGCCGTTGTCAAACACCTGGATGCGGTTTTTGTACTCGGGTCTCAGGTTTCCTATAACACCCGTTCCTATCGACTGTATGACGGTGACGGGTTTCACTTTGTCCCTCTTCAGCTGCCACTTAATGACAGGCTTGGCTGAGCTGCCGCTCGTGTAGCTGACCGACAGGAGGGCCTCTCGGCCCACCGTGCCCCTCACCACCTGGGTGTGGCTGGTCACATTCACCCCCAAGACCTCGCCTGCAGACAGGTCAAAAAGACAGATGGGTGGTCCTGATTGATATCACAACTGCTCAAATAAACCTAAATCAAAGCAGAAGGCAGACCGTGTTTTAGATCACACAGGAATAAAAAAAACTTGGTGTTGATACAGTTAAAATTTTWAAAGTTGTTCATATTCTCCTTAAGACTGTGTCAAATGTTTTGTTTCAGTCTTATAAATTTTATTTGTATGCTGAAGAACATCTAGCCTTTAAGCTACCAAATATATTTTTATAGAAMCGTGGCACTGGAATTGACCTTTTCATTATTCAGACTTTTTTGTCCAATCAAAAAAGAAGCAACCAACTTTTTGAAAAGAAAACAGAAAAAAAAACAAGAAGAAATGCTTCCATCTGACCTAACGTAGACCTGTTTTGTAATTAATGAATTAAAGGAAAAATGAAGTGTTTTCAACYTGGTTTTCTTAGTGTCTGAAATTCTGTAGAAAGAGACATGAATCKCTTTTATTGTTTTTAAAATATGTTTTAGCGTCTGCAAGAACGTTCACCTTAAAAAGCAATTCAAATTGTTACACTGGAAAAAATTTCCAACTAACCAAGTTATATCCAGCCAAATGTGTTTTTGATCTCGTTTTGAAACTGATTTCCTAAACAAGAACTGATTGTGTAAGAATAATAATCTTGTTTTCAGAATGTGTAAGATTAGAAGATGTGAAATAAGAAAAAAAATGAATCAAATCAAGCATTTCAAGAATCTTACCAAGTAAAAACTTCTTACTCCATTGGCAGAAAACTTTGACTTAATTTGAGTCAAGTTTTCAGACTAACAATACAAATAATCTGACACATTCTGAAAACAAGATTTTTATTCTTATACAATCAGTTCTTGTTTAATAAATCAGTCTCAAAACAAGATCAAAAAGTCTTTTTTGACTGGATATAAGGTTTTAAAACTTGGTTGGATGGACAGTTTTTGCAGTGTACTTCATTGGTTTAACAGTGTCACTATATTTATTTATTTATCCATCCATCCATTTTCTGTACACGCTTCTTCCTTTTCAGGGTTGCGTGGGTCACTGGTGCCCATATCCAGCAGTCACAGTGCGAGGGGCGGGGTGCACCCTGGACAGGTCGCAAGTCCATCACAGTTATTTATTTATTTATTTATTTATTTATTTATTTATTTATTTAAATGCATGAAAGGGAGTCGATGAGGCTGAGCTGCCTCAGTTCTTTGTAATCTAGACTTTTCTTCTTGAAGTTGTTGCATAATGCACACCTTACAGCTTCATGGCTCAGCTTAATAAAGTTCTGCATGATACCATGAGAATATGTGTTGAGAATGAKCCTTAGCCACTACCCTGTCAAATTTGAGCTTAATATCRAWAAATCAAACTGGGTTAGAGTGCGTCTGTGTTGGATGATGTCGATTAGCTGCAGCAGACATGTTGCTCAAGTGTTGATATGCATCCTCTGTGTGAGTTTTATTAAAATTTTATTCAGTTGCGATATCTTGGAAACAGACAGCTGGACAAAAACAATAATGTCTGCCTTCAGTTTCTGGCAGTGGGCAAATAAAATAAAACCRATTTGGTTCAAATATCAAGTAATAAAACCATACAGCAATAAAATGGTGCAAAAATGGGATGTTTGATTCCACATCAAAATTGTACAATTTTGTTCCCTTTATGATAAGATTAGAACAGGAGTCTTTGTTCTTTAAAAGTATGTTTAAGATATTTTCCTWTTTTTAAACTTAAATAATTCAAAGACTTATTAATGGCACACATGCTGGCTTTTTATTGGGTCCTTTATACAGTACCTAGCCACATCTTCATAAATCAGCTTCTCTGAAACTCCCTCCAGGAGRCCCTCCACTCCAATCTCTTGCAGAGAACAAGTAATCTGCTAATTTTGATTTGTGTACCTCAGTTATTGTCCCCCTTCCCACAGGGGTACGGGGARAGGGTCTTAAAGCACGAGTCACATTTCACCTTTACAGTGGAGCCCTGTCCTGGAAACCGAACAAAGCCAAGTTATTATGTTCACAGTGGAGGTTCCTATAACTCAGCTGTAGCTGTGGGCACACGGAGGTCCAGACTGTTCACTGATGGAGAGATCAGCCCGAGAGAGAAAGAGGGCGGAGAGAGGGAAAGAGAGAGAGAGAGAGAGAGAGAGAGAGAGAGAGAGAGAGAGAGAGAG